GCTGTGGTTTCTTACCGGTGTCTATTCTATCCATTTCTCGTATCTTGTTTTGTTCATCTGCTTTTTCTTATTCTTCTCTTCTTTAATTTAATTGCTGATCAAGTTACATTACAGTGAAGGCCATAAATTTTGTGTTTATCTGTTCTTGGTTACCTTTAGGAATTTGGGGATCATGACTGCTTTGTTCATCTGATGGTCGTGCTATATATTAGTTCAGTTTATTATATCAGTATATTTAGCTTCTCTCAATCATCTTGGAAGATGATGATGGGGTTGACCTCGTTGGCGATCGCTACATTAACTATGTTCTTTATTTTCTGGATCTTAGTTGTCGGTAGAAATTTACCCTCAAAAGATTGTAGATTCAAATTAGGGTGTCTAGATTGCTGATCATTTTAAGGTTTTGTTTATTTCCAACTTGCAATATCTGGATTCCCTCATATCATATGTTGACATGCCCATGGTTGTTGATTGCTACGTTTGCCAAAGTATGTAGCAGTCCAACACTATGAGCCTTTTTAAAAGCCTGAAGAGACTTTTAACTCTATATAGATTGCTTCATTTTTTTACCTATAATTGGATGGGAGACTAGTGTTATTTGCCAAGCTGTGTTGTATTAATGCTTTTGAATGTGATTGTGTCATTGTTTAACTTTGAAATGTATTTTAAGCAACTTTTTTCTTACTTAAAAAGATGTTTTGTTGTAGCTGATGAAGTTATCCTGAAAGTAATTAGTATTGGGCACTGGACCTTACTAATGTACCAGAATCTTCATTACTTTTGAACATGTACCAGGACATAGGAAGCATCAGCACATAGGAAATAAATCAATGACTTGTTAATCTAACAAACTCTAATCTTGTCTCCATTATTGACCATATATATTGCAAATGTAATTCTGTTCTTTTTCATTTGGTGCCTGTCAGATATAAAGATGGCAGATGCTTGATTGTCTACTTTAGGTTGTCCTTCATAAAGGAAATGATGGAGTTGACTGCATTGGTGATTGTACATTTGCTGTGTTCTGTAATTTCTGGATCTAAGTTGTAGATAGAAATTTACCCTAAAATAAAGATGCAAATATTGGTGATTGCCACAGAGTTTTGTCTATTGTGATATCAATACTTGGTTTGCCTCAAATCATGTATTTACATGCCAGCTTAAAGAATCAATTCCCTCATTTGCCAAATCATGAGGATGTTTGACCTTATATGCTGGGGTAATCTGTCCTGAAGAGACTTTTGTCTCCATATAATTCATTGCATTCTACTTACAATCGGATTGGAAATCAAGGTTATTTGCCAAGTCATGTTAAGTTTATTGCTTAAAATGTTCTTATGCTTTGTTTTTTAACCTTGAAATGTATTTTAAATAAATTGTCTTTTGTACCTGTGCTGTGGCGCTGCTGTAAGTTTTCGATAAAATCCTTAATACTTTGCCAAATCCATTCATGATTTATTCGACAAAAAAAATTATAAAAATGGATAAGATCGGCTAAGTCTTACATTAGAATTATAAACCCTCGATTAAAAAATGGAAATTCTTGTATATTGAGTAACCGCGGAGATGAATTTTGATCAGTTTATTTACTCGTTCTGACCTTTCAGTGAGTAAGGAGTTTATTAAGTTGTTCTCAAAGTAATTAGTATTGAGCAGTAGAATTGTTACTACCACTGTACCAGTCTTGATTGCTTTCAAAGTTATACCAGGAAATACAAAGTGTCAGTCAATAGGAAATGAGTCAATGACTAATTAATATAACAATTCTTTGAACTTATATCCATTACTAGTTATATACATTCACATGTAATTCTCTTCTGTTTGTTCCTTTTTGTCTGATGGATAGTTCTTCATCTCAAGCTGGTATTCATCTTTCCTGTCAGAGATAGAAGATGGCAGATGGTGAAGATATTCAGCCTCTCGTATGTGACAATGGAACTGGAATGGTTAAGGTACAACCTGAAGATTGCTTTTTATGACATGTTTCCATAAATCTCAGGCTGTTTACTGTTCATACATTGTTCACGAAGATGATAATGATATAGTTCGGTTCTGAAGCTCTAAAATGCTTAAACCTAATGCTATTAACTTCATCTTTTGTCATCTAACCATTAGCCAATTTTGAATTTCTCAGAGAGCTTCTCCTCATAGTTCACTGTTGACTTAGCCTTTAAACATTGTGTGCTGTCATTCTTTAGGCTGGTTTTGCTGGAGATGATGCCCCAAGGGCTGTTTTCCCAAGCATTGTGGGACGACCACGTCATACTGGAGTGATGGTAGGCATGGGCCAGAAGGATGCATATGTAGGAGATGAGGCTCAATCTAAACGAGGCATTCTGACACTGAAATATCCGATTGAGCATGGCATTGTGAGCAATTGGGATGACATGGAGAAAATTTGGCACCATACTTTCTACAATGAGCTTCGTGTGGCACCAGAAGAACATCCTATTCTTCTTACTGAAGCACCTCTTAACCCCAAGGCCAATCGTGAGAAGATGACTCAAATCATGTTTGAGACCTTCAATGCTCCAGCTATGTATGTTGCAATCCAAGCTGTTCTGTCTCTTTACGCTAGTGGTCGAACAACAGGTAATCCAGTCATTCACCTTGATGAATCACTCTCTTGACCATCTCTAGTAGACATGTAAACATGTCTTTTTTTTTGAGGGAATTGGAATACCTGTGCATGTTCGTAAACCATGAACCCTGTTAACTTGGTGAACTTTTTTTAGTTGAAATAGCATCTCTTTTCAGTAAGTGCTTAGATTTGCTACTTATATTCAGTTATTCATGTATATGTCTACAAGCTGGATGATCTTTGTGATGCCTGAATATTAATTTAGGATTACATGATTTCTGCAGCATATATATATGGAAGGAATTTTTTTTTTCTTTTGCATTATTGAATCACTAATGAAGAAGGAAAATTAAACTTGACTGATCACTGATATGCACAGGTATTGTGCTCGACTCTGGTGATGGTGTCAGCCATACAGTTCCAATATATGAAGGCTATGCACTTCCACATGCCATCCTTCGCCTCGACCTGGCAGGCCGTGACCTGACTGACGCTCTCATGAAGATCTTGACAGAGCGTGGCTACTCCTTCACCACCACGGCAGAGCGTGAAATCGTTCGTGACATCAAGGAAAAGCTGGCATACATTGCTCTTGACTATGAACAAGAGCTGGAGATGGCAAAGACCAGCTCATCTGTGGAGAAGAACTATGAGTTGCCTGACGGGCAGGTCATCACCATCGGTGCCGAGCGGTTCCGCTGCCCTGAAGTGCTCTTCCAGCCATCCATGATTGGGATGGAAGCTGCAGGCATACATGAGACCACATACAACTCCATCATGAAGTGTGATGTGGACATCAGAAAGGATTTGTATGGAAACATTGTGCTGAGTGGAGGATCCACCATGTTCCCAGGCATTGCTGATAGGATGAGCAAGGAGATCACTGCACTGGCTCCAAGCAGCATGAAGATTAAGGTGGTTGCTCCCCCGGAAAGGAAGTACAGTGTTTGGATTGGAGGATCCATTTTGGCTTCTCTTAGCACATTCCAACAGGTGTATACCCTACTACTTGAAACCACATAATAGATGCTCATATCTGGTTATCTTGACAAAATCTTGCATTCTTGGAATCACTCTTGATGACAAGCTACTGTCCGTTGCAGATGTGGATTGCAAAGGCAGAGTATGATGAGTCTGGCCCTTCCATTGTGCACAGGAAATGCTTCTAAATCTTCTTCTACATGGGGAGTAGCAGAACAATAAGATGATGAAACAACACAACTGACATGAGAGAGTAGTTCAGTTTGGAATTTTACCTGGATGCTGTTCTTCCTCAACCAAATATTTGTCGGTCTCTCTCTCCTCTCTCCTTGGATGGATATTATGACTTGCTTTGCTTGATTTTATTTTGATTCTGTACTCGAAGGAAGGTCAATAATTCTGAACCAGATATCATTTTGAGTATGTTACCTTATTATTTTTGTTTAATAATTGCAATTGCCGGTGTTGTCTTTCACTTTGCTTATGGTTCTATTCAAATGTTGTTCATGCAAAAGGCTAGCCAGGAGGTCTGTTTATTATTATTATTATTATTATTATTACTATTACTATTACTATTATTGCCAATTTAGATCTGAACTTCTCAAGTAAATAAATGAATAATTTATCTAAATCTGTTAAAGAATCGTAACAAAACAGGCTGCTATATATGACTTTTTTGACACTTGAAGAACATAAGAAGGTCATCGATAATAAAATAATTTTTGTGATTTCCTAGCGACGAGCTATTCTTATTAGTCAACGAAGGATTCAACATTTTTATGGGGTTATCTTTTCGCAGAATCATGTACGAGGTGTCACAACTTGTAACAAATGTGAATTATCTGTGAGCTTCACCACCTCGGCCATGAACCGAGTCCACTTTTCAATAGCTAATGCCGAGGAGGCAGGTAGGCATGCACAAGTTCTGCTGCTTTGATCACTATCCAAGCCGAAAGGAAAAGAGAAGCAGATGCCATTCCCTTCTTTTCATAGTTTACACAATCCAACCTACATCAACGTATAATAGAGAGAGAGAGAGAGAGAGAGAGAGAGAGAGAGAGAGAGAGAGAGAAAAGTAAAGATTGTATCGGTTGACAACTTTTCTCTGCTTTCTTTTGGGTGCAATCATTGACATGTGTAGAAGGCCACTTGAAAGGAAAAGAGAAGCATTTCTCAACCCAAGTAAAGAAGGCCATATTGCGTAAGCCTTGTACACCTTTTTGGCTCAGGAAAAAGTTACACTCAAGGGTGCAAGGCGTTTAAATCATAAGTCATCCTCTGCTCTCTTCATGATCTATCTGCCTGGTAATGAATCAATTTGATCAGATCCTTCAGGCTCCCAGTGTGCGTTGATTCTTTTGTCTCCACTATCGATGACAAGTAATCTTCTCTTGGCCAGAAACTGTAGCTTCACAGAGAGATTGAGATCAAACTCTGCTATCTTAACCTTTGTTTTCATGCTCAAGTTAGAAGGCAATGATCAGTGATCCAGAACTAAGATACAAAACCAAGAGCAAAATGTTATTGACAACAGACGCTTCGCAAGTTCGTCTTATCGATTAACTACATGGATAGCTAATACTTCTTCATCATCTTCTTCTTCTTCCAGCTACGGAATCTGGGATACATGCATCCTGGTTCATCAGCGTCAACGGCTTAGTAGCGGGAACCAGCAGTCGTGGAAGTAGGACTGGTAGGAGATCATGAACATGAGGAGCACCAAGACAAGCGCGACGCCCCAAGGGGAACCGCCGGCCCGGTGGAAGGAGTCCCTCTCCGGCAAGGGAATAAAGAAGGGCACCCTTAGCCGCTCATCGCTCGACAGCCAGTGGACGACCAGCAGCAGCACCAGCGGCGACATCATGAGCAGGAACTTGAGCTGGTCGAACAAGCTCTCGAACACCGACTCGTAGGCCATGTACCACGAGAGGCCTATGAACATGAAGAGCGTAAGGAGGAAGAGGCACAGGTGGAGCGGCAAGGGAGGAGACTGGGAGTGAGAGGAGTTGTAGTAGTAAGGACTATTCTGATAGTAGTAACCATTAGCCATACTCTCTCTCTTTCTCTCTCTCTCTCTCTCTCTCTCTCTCTTCTCCTCTACAAAATGCTATTACTTCCTCGTTATCTTCTATTCCAGATCGTTCTACAATGGAGGAGAGGAGAAGAGGACGGGTTCTTATAGAGCCAAGGCCCAAGTAAGCCACATGAATCAAGAGAGAAGAGAGAGAAAGAGAAACTGACCAATCCACCATTGACACGTACGACCGACCATGGCGCTCGGTGGGGAATCGAACGAAGCAAAGCTACAGGGAAAGTTGGCCGGTGGTGGTCCAATACATTACCTCCTGCTTTTGAAGCGACAACACATCTTGAAACAAAGGCCTTCTCGTGGAACATGACAATGGAACAGACTTGAATCTTCCGCCACAAAACACAGCCATTGAATTGATCTGGCAATATTCGATTGTTGGCAAACACAAGTATCGATTACCTTTTCGATGAAACTGATGCTGATGAGATTAACAAAAATAAATCTGAAAACATCGAAACTGTAAACTAGATTTGGAACCAAAAGCAAACATGAAGAACTTCATGCAGGAAGAGGCAAAAGGGAGAGGAAGGAACAAGTGGTGGTTGATGCAGGAGAGGAGGTTGGCCTACCATAACTCAATGTGAAGGAAGGTTTGGGGCTGACAGTATCAGAGGGTTGAAAGACCTTACCTCACATAACAGGAGGTGAGACCTTACCCCACAGTGTCCTGCACTTTTGGTCTAAGTGAAACTATTAACACCCAAAAGATTCCACTTTATCCTTTAATCCCAATTTAATCAAGGGAAACCAATAATTACAATCATCTATGAACGGGAATCCTAAACTTACGCGGTAATATCTCATTTACTTTACCAGCGGTGGGGCCCTTCCGGTCCCATATTATTCTTCGAATCATTAAACGGGTTAGGCGTCGTTCAACTGACGCCTGGAGGTCAGAATCTTAATTTAAAAAATAAAAATATCTCGTTTAAGGGTTTTTTTTGGGGGAAGTGTCTCCTATTCTCAAAATTCTGTAACACTATTTTTTTTCTTTTTATATAACTAGAACACCCTCAGCCATCTGCCCTTCTTTTCTTCCTTATCCTAATAGACTTATCCATATGATGAATTGGTCTAGTTATAATATTTTTATATTATATTATAGTACTTTTAATAATATTAAAAAAATTATAATATATTTTTAACTAATAACTTTCTTATAATTATAAAAAAATAATTTAAATAATATAAAAAAATATAAACATAGTTTTTTCGATAAATTTATGAAAAAACTCGTAATTTTATGTTTTTCCTATTGAGTACCCTAAATTTTAAAAATTCTTATAGAGTATTATTTTTTTAGAAATAATTATTTTATCCATAACGATCATTGCCTTTCATTGTGCATACACCCATACTTGATTGTTCCTTTATCCGCGCTTGGCCATACCTCTGCCTTATCGACCACTCCCCTTCGTCTTGGGCTTGGCCATCCGGCACTTAGCAATCCCGCTCACCAATCGTTGCTCACCCACTGTGGTCGATCATGCGACCCTCATCAGTTGCCCCTCTCCTTCCTTGGTTGCTTGTGCTTATGTACACGAAGTGGCAAGTAGCGTCAATCGCTCCCTTGTGCACCTACTATTGAATCTCAGATTTTGATAATAAAATCAATTGATGAAGTTATGATCTAATAAGCGTTTGAGTGACACAGGACTAACTTCGATCATGGAAAGACAAATCGATTGAAGCAGGAAGAATCAGACATTGGGCCGGAGTGGATCATGTCAAAAGATTGGACGTCGGACTTAAGAACTGGTCGACGTGCCCGATGGACTTTGTGCCTGAGTTTGAGCATCAGGCTAAAGGATTGGACATTACACTAAGGAGATCGGATGTTGCGGAAGGTCAACATGTCGATTGGGTAATACGTCGAAGGAGAGGACGATGTACCGAAAGATCGAACAAAGCGTCGGATGAACCAATGACATGTCAGACAACATAGGATTCGTGTTTGTAATCGGTCATGTCTTGATCGAAGTAGGTTAGGTTGTAATTGAGTTGGTTTTTAGTGTAACCATGCCAACTTAATTAGGGACTAATTGAGCCTAAATCAAGGTTGAATTGAGCCTATTGAAAGTCTAATTCAATATTCTGAAGTTGGCCCAAGCGGTGGTACTGCCAGGTCAGGTGGTGGAACCACTTGTGAGACAATGTACATCTCCAAAAAACCCGAGTAGTTGTATTGCTCAAACTAGGCGTTGGTACTGCCTAGTGTCAGTTTGGCAGGTGATGGTACCACCTAGGCTAGGTGGTGGTACCTGTTGAATCTCAGATTTTGATGATAAAACTAATTGATAATGTTATAATCTAATCTACGTTTTGAGTGATGTAGGACTAGCTTCGATCAAGAGAGACAAATTGATTAAAGCAGAAAGAATAAGAAGTTGGGCGAGAATTGAACACATTAGAAGATTGGATGTTAGACCAGAGGAATGGCCAATGTCTCGGTAGAAGGCTTTGTGCCATGAGTTCGGGCATCGAGCCAAGAAGATTGGACATTACGCCAAGGAGATCAGATGTTGCAAGAAGGCAACATACCGATTGGGCAATACACCTAAGGAGAGGACGATGCATCGAAAGGTCGAACGAAGCGATGGATGAACCAATGACATGCTGTACAACTTAGTATTTTTACTTGTAATAATTTGTCTAGATCAAAGTAGTTTTTAGTTATAATTAGGTTGGTTTAGAATATAATTAGGCCAACTCAATTAGAAGCTAATTGGGCTCGAATTGGGGCTATTTTGGACCAAGAGAAAGGCCATTCAGTGACCTAAAAGTTGGGTCAGGCGGTGGCATCACCGATCCAAGTGGTGGCACTGCTAGTTGCTTAGCCTCCGAGACAGCCTCTAAGACTATGTTAGGCAGTAGTATCGCCCAGTGTCAAACGGTAGTACCTCCCAGTGTCAGGCAGTGGTACCACCAGTCTGGGCGGTGGTACCACCTAGACACAGTCACCCATATTATGTCAGGTGGTGGTACTGTCAGATTGGGCGATGGTACCGCCAGTACCCCGAAAATCGGGGATGAGACACTTTTAGGCTCCAAGTTTGAATCCAATTGGGTCCTTTAAATACCCCTCTCATCCTTGCTCAGATTACATAAGAACCGAGAACAAAAACAAGTGAAAATTCTATTGTAATATTATGAGAATTCTCCTTCTCTAGTCTAAGTGTGATTTCTGTTTAGAGAAGAGTGAGTGAGGGTATAAAGGTTCTCTTCTGAGCCTATCAAAAGGAGAATAGAGTTGTAAGGGTAGTTGGTCTTCGCCCATTGAAGGAAGATCATTAGTGGATATCAGTAGCCTCGACGGAAGAGGAATCGGGAGTGGATGTAGGTCACAACTATCGGACCACTATAAACTCGATTTGCATTTCTATTATTGTCATTTACTTGTTTAATCTCATATTTTGATGATGAAACCAATTGATAGTGTTTATAAGTTGATCTACATTTTAAATGACGTAGGAAGCTTCGATCATGGAGAGACAATTAAAGCGGGAAGAATCATGTTGGGCCAGAGTGGAACATGTTAGAAGATTAGACGTCGAGCCGGAGGATCGGTCGACGTATCAGCAAAAGGCTTCAGGCCATGGGTTCGAGTATCGGGCTAAGAAGAGCGAAAATTACGCTAAGGAAATTGGAGTTATGGAGGTCAACTTGCCGATTGGGCAATAGGCTACAAGAGAGGACGATGCACCGAAGAATCGAACGAAGCGTCGATGAACCAATGATATGCCGGATAATATTTGATTCAAGCTTTGTAATAATTGTCTAGATCGAACTAGGTTTTAAGTGTGTAGGATTAACTATAATAGTGATTAAGGCATAAAGCAAAATGATGTCCCGGAGTCAAGAATGAGACTTCATTGGGAGTTCGAGAGTTCGTCGAAAGTCCGGATGTTCTATCACGGACAAAGTTCTAAACAAGATGTTTAATATAATACTTATGTATATCCATATCTTTCTGTTTGTTCATGCTTTGCACAGCATGTAGAGGAACGGTTGAAGGCTTAACAACCTCATTTTAGTTGGGTTTGGTGGCCTTCTTAGCCTTGTAAATAAAGGTTATGTTATGTGGACACTTGTGAGAGATATTCGATTTGTAGTGGACCATTTTGACCCTTTATTATGTAACCGTTCAAAGCTTATAAAGCCTGTTTGTAATTTGCATTATCTATGAAGTGTTTCCTAAAAGGTTTGCTTATGGATCCCAAGTGAGATGCTTTCTCTAACCCATTTTCTCTTTTGTAGGTCTTAAGGGACCATGGGAGGTTTCGGGGAGGCTGACCTTTGTGGACGAATACGCAAAGGTGCCACACGACTTGGGCAAAACTAGTTAAGTCCATGACATATGGTATCAGAGTGGGACAAGCGCTCATAGAAACACTTGGCATGCAAATGTGGGGGACCTAGCAGAGCTGTGTTGAGGGCAATCAGCACACGCGCGACCATTTAGAGGAAAACATACATAGAGATATAGGTAAAATGAGTCGCCCGGAGGAGCGGGCATCTGAGATTGACATTCAGAGGAATGACCAACCCTTTGCGCAAGAGACACTACGAGAACAAGCAAGCTTGGAAGAATGCGTAGCGCACAAAGGTTGGGATGGTTGAGTTCGAGCTATGGCTCGACGTTGACAAATATACTTAATGGTACTCAAGGCAAGCGAGGCGCTTGGTAAAGGATGAGACCATGCAAGGTGGAACGAGTAGCTTAGCGACCAAAAGAGTTGTGCAAAGCTCACAAAGGTAAGGGGAATTACGAACTCGAAGAATTCGGTACTCATGCATGGGCTTGTATGCGGATGATGAAATGTTCGCAGCCATCCCAAGGCGACCGAAACTCAGCATTATAGAGCATTGGAGCTCTCTCTTCGGCATGAAAAGGATACGTATGTAGGAGGTTGAAGTGTGTAGCGAGTTCAGCATGTTGCTAGGCCTTGAGTGGTGCAGCAGGGGCTGTATTGACGTAGAGTCACAATCTAGCAAGTGCGTTTGCAAGAGGTAGAACAATGCACAGTTTGTTCAGCAAATCGGAGTAGTCTAAGGGGATGGTG